CTGAACAAAATGTAACTTAGGCGTGTCCAGGCCTGGGATATGTGCAAATTCACCTGTTGTGTGAGGTGTGAAGTTGGGCTTGGTTACATTTAAGTCTAAGGTATCTGTTCTTGTATCATATTATATCCTGGGTCAAATGAACCAACCAGAGTGCCAGCACAACATGTAGCTTAAGTCCACACTAGCCATGGAATTTTGCAAAATTCCAGCCAAGGATCTGGTGGGTCTGGTGATTCTGGATCTTCTTGTTTTTGTGCTGTGGCACGCCTCTTCGCAGGCACCTTTTCCTGGGCAAATGGACAAGTATTCCCTCCACCTCTCACAAACATATTAAATCATATCAAATCAATATATCATAATATATCCCTCTCTAGGCGGTAAATAGTAAAGAAACTCTTCACGTGCCCGTCAAGCTTCAACTGGAGCTTTTGGTGAATCTGCGCGTGCTGTCCTCTTCTTGGAGTCCGTCCTGCGGGGCGGGGTGTCTACGAACTCCATGGTCTCGGACTTCAATCGCTTTACGGGAGGGATAGGTTTGCTCTGCTCCTGCTTGATTTCCCGTTTCATTGCAGGATTGCGAACGTCCACCAAAGTAGCCAATCGCTGGAGGTTCTTTCTCGAAGCAAAATCCTCGGGCAAAGCAAGAGGCAGTGACATTGCAGGATTGCCGCTGGTCTGCCGTATGATGTATTCAGCAGCTAGAAGCACACGATGCCCACACGTGATATCATCTTTCTGCTGTGGGGTATCCACCACTGTGACATTCACTCCATTGGGGTGCAAGGCCTCCCTCGACCAAGCCACTATCTTCTGGTAAACTATGTGGTTGCGCTGTCCGTCATAGATCACCACGCCATTGATTCCAGACTGCAAAGCAGCCAATGCCCAATGTGTGCTTGAGCAAACTATGCCCAACATCAAAGTGGCACCATCCTGCAGGATATTGAGAAGTCTCGTCCTCTTGTAATCCGACAAATCCAGAATCAAGATCTCCCGGGACCAAGTCCGGCTGTGGCTCCTTGCAATTGCCACCAGACCGTGTAGTATGTGTCCAATGTGACACCTATCATCTGGATTGATTGCGACTGGAGCATAGTTCCGCAATACAACTTCCTCAATGGCCTTGTGCAAAAAGGAATCGCGTTCTGGATCCACCGCAATGATTCTCTTCATGAAGGCCATGTAGAGAGCAGGCAGGCTTGCCCATTCTGGATCTGACGACCATCCATTTTCTGGCAAGAACTCATCAACACAGAAATCTGATTGGCGAAGGAAATCATCTGGATTCTTCACTCTGAATGCGCTGCGGTCACCAGGTGACAACTCTATCCAGTCTTCCTCGGTCTTGCCTGTATTGATGAAATTGATGAATGCACTGGCCTCCTGAAGGCTTTCAAACATGTATTCATCCCTGACTTTTCCCATCTGTCCGATCATTTTGAGGTAGTCAGCCTTTGTAAATTCCATCCTAAGCTGAAAAGGAATGCATAATGGCTGCCCATAGTGTCCTATAGTATCCTATATTGCTATGCAGTCTGATACATCATTCTTATTTCATATTAGATATTGCTATAAAACAACTGTATAGAAGATTATTACCTCAGTGTCATGTCCAGGCAAAGTGGCACTGGCGATATATCCGATGAGGCAGCCGATGGGGAATCATTCAACGCTGTTCTCATGGCACACTCCAGCATCTGCCAAGGTCTCCCCACAGAGTCGCCCACTTTCCGCGTAGGAGCTTGCATTTTCTCAAGCTTCACACCCACCAGTCGCTGCGTAGACGGGAGCAAGTTGACGGACATAACCACAAGATCCTCCTGGAAGGTCACACAGAAACAACATGAACCAACATTGAATCATCACGCACCAACCCAAGCAAAGATTCAACGATGCAAAAATGGCGATGGCCTCATCAGACCAGACTCCCTCCATCTGTTGCGCGACCTTCACACATTCTTTTAAAAAAGTAACTTCAACACGTCGAGGTGCTGGTGAATGCAGGACAGCACTATCTGAGAATAGAACATGATTAGCAACTTATGGTGGCAACATCGTAGACCCTTGAAGACACTAGCGTACACTATCCAAAAAAATCCAAAAAATGTAACTTCAACAGTTGGAGGTGCTGCTGACTGCAGGAGAGCACTATCTGAGAACAGAACAGAGGGCACTGTTGGCGATGGCAACGTAGTGACTGCTTCCTTCACAGCCTTGACAAATGATGA